CAATGTTATATGCCCCGGTTATGCACAGTATATATGTGACTGTACGAAATGAAATGAAAATAAAACATATTTACACCGGAAAAAAAAATATTTTTGCTAATCTTGCCGGTGGCAGATGCAACCTATAAAATATTTTATAAAGATTTTCCTTATACAGTATAACCTCTAGTCACAACCATAATTTGTTCTATAACTTTGGTTGCAAACTGATTTGCTTGTGACCCAAACCTAATTTTGGAAATTTGATGCTTACAAAAAAAAAATGGCATGGGAGGGGAAATCGGCCCGGAAAAAAAAAGATGCTTTTTTTTGGTTGGAACCCGATTTGGTCGTGGTCAGAAGTGTTCATGACTAGAAGTTCTAATGTGGCCATTGTCAAAGTTTTTGCCATTTATCTGGTTCTATAGTATAGCTAAAGTTTTTTGCCCATACTATTATCGTTTCTCTAACTTGTTCATCTTTAAATCTTAGTAGGTAGTTATATAGTTTTCTTATGTTTTTTATCTGTCCCTGATAATATCTTGTCAAGGGTTGTTAGTTCTTTATAGAAACCATATGTTTTCACATTTTTCTCATATCTCGATTGTATTGCAGGTGTGACCACCATTTTAAATCCACCCACTGATTTTGTAACTCCTGTCTAGTTTCAAGTTTCCTTTTCTCATTTAAAATGTCTTTATAAGATACAATTTTATCCAAGTTGACAACATTTGGATGTATCAATTCTTCCATTATAGAAAGCCACTGGTATTTTCCTATAGTTTTGTGATTTAATTTTTTCCCATAATAAAAGTCAAACATTCCTCGCATAGTGTCTTTGAAAATATCTATGTACCGTACTCCTTCCATACCATAGAAAGGCATGGCACCGTAATTGAAGACCATTACCCTACAGTAATAATAATCTTCTATTCCTTAATTTTATCCATTCTTTCATCCATGTAAGTTACAACTTTCTGATAGTACAACTCCCAATCTGGTAGCCTGAAGTCCCCATTCTCTTTAAACTCCTGTAACATTTTCAGTTTTATTCTTGCTTTTATTCCTTTGCCAAATATATTTCAAAATTGTTTTATTCAGTTCTTCAAAATATTTTTTCATTAATTTTATCAGTGTTGTTTGGAATTAAAAAGTAACGTCAATAATATGTTCATGTTTATAGTAGCGGTTCTCCCTATCATTGAGAGTTGTAGGTTCTTTCATTTCTCCAAATCCAACTTAATTTGTTTCATTAACTTTGTATAGTTATCCTCTTTAATTGTTGCACATCTTGCTGTTAAGTAAATTCCTAAATATTTCACTTTCTCTCCTATATGAAGGTCTACCTTCTTTGTCAATTTGTTTCTCTATTTATCTGTAAAGGTTTTTATTATTATTATTTTAGTTTTTTCTTTATTTTCAATCCTGCAACTACTCCATACTCCTCAATTTTTCCTATCAGCCTGGGACCAGTTCCTAATGGTTTTTCTAATATAAAAACTAAATCATCTGCAAATACTTGTAGTTTATACTTCTTTTTTTATTTCCATTCTTTTTATTTCTCAATCCCGTCTAATATTTCTAGTTAACATTTCCAATGTGTTAACTAGTCTCTTGTCCATCAGATTCAACGGTCTCCTTCCATTCCAGTGCTCCTCACAATTGCTGGGGAAGAGGATTTCATGTCTTGCAATCGTTCCCTGGGCAAGGTTGCACGCAAGAGATCTTCAATGGTTCCTCCTTCCATTATAAAGGGCCAACGGCAGCAACTCTACGGTCAAGGTTCGTCTGTTGCCAAAAGTCATTTGCTCCCTCCAGTGGTGGCAGTCCCTGGCCATGATGAAAGGGTTCCTATTCCAGGAGCCTGACTGCCTGACCATCACGTCAGACACCAGTCTATTCGGATGAGGCGCTCACCTCCACAACCAGATTGTGTGGGCAGGTGGTCTGCCTGTGAGTTGTCTCACAACATCAACTGGTTGGAGCTGAGGGCAGTGCACCTTGCTCTCTGCCGGTTCCAGAAGAAGGTTCAAGGTCACCACATCCTCATCCTCATGGACAATGTGGCAACAAAGGCACACATCAACTGACAAGGGGCACTAGATTCAGATTGCTCATGTCAGAGGCACTTGGAAGATGGGCAGAATGACATGTGACATCGATATGGGCGGAACACATCTCCGGTGTTAACAATGTTCGAGTGGACTGGCTGAGCAGGCCCACCCTGAATGAGTCAGAATGGTGTCTGCACCCATGTCTGTTTCAGCAGCTGTCACTGAGGTTCGGTCACCCCATCGTCGACCTCTTCACCACTCTGGAGAACGCACAGCTTCCTTGTTTCTTCATCAGGTTCCACTCTCCTCAGGTGGAAGGTGTGAATGCTCTCAGTTGCCCCTGGCCTTGGGGCCTTCTCTATGCCTTCCTTCTGTTGCCCTTCATCCCCTGAGTGATCAGGAAGATACTAGTGGCACAAGCAGAGGTGATTCTGGTAGCAGCTCATTGGCCTGGTTCGCCAATCTGACCAGCCTCTCCATTGCCCGCTCCTGGAGAATTCCACAGGAGTTAGTTTCTCTCAGCCAGGAGGTCTTTCTACACCTGGAGCTTTAGTGACTCCAGTTGACCATGTGGCACTTGAGAGGGACCTTCTGACAAAGCGCAAATTCTCTAGCCAGGTCATCCACACCATTCAGGCGGCCTTCCACTACCAGAATCTACGACGCCCCATGATCTGCTTTTGTGTGCTGGTGTGTTAAGCACCATCTGAACTTTCTTGCGGCATTGATTCTACAAATATTGGTCTTCCTCCAGGACGGCTTTGATAAGGGAATGGCTCCAAACACCTTGAGGTGACAGGTAGTGACGCTATCCATG